TATAGATACAATTTGGACGAGTATATGATTGTACTCGTCCGGAAGCATAATAACTAACCTAAACTATTAAAACTACTTATACTAACTATAAACTACTTAAGCCTCGCTCGCTTGGGAGGAGGCGAGTCAAAGTCGAAGTCGGAGTCGGAGTCATCGTCATCGGCGGCGGCGGCGGCGTCCTTGTCCTCATCCTCGTCATCCTCCTCCTCCGGGTCCTCCTTCTTGGAGCTCCACGGAGGACTATAATCAGACATCCAGTCGTTGGAGGAGATGTTCTCCTTGGAGGAGTGGTGGGAAGGCAATTCGTCCTCGCTGGACGATGGGCTGCTTGGAAACTTGAAGGGTCTATCCGACATTTTCTTTGTAGATTGAAAGAGAAGGGGTGATGGATAAAGAAGAGGGGTCATTTCAGAGGGCACTGGGCTTGAAGTATATGTAGAGCAGTGGGTACGTGGCTCTTAGGCTTCAGGCAGTGGAAGTAATGGTGATTTGACGGCCTTAGAAGTTGAGGCAATTCAACACTCACGCTGAATTTACCACCGGTTGACCAAATGCTACTTTAGGGCCGGTGGGCAAAATGCGTATCCCAGTCCTCCCGGCTTTTCATGCGATGGAGCAAATGCAACCCTAATACCACTATCGCATCTATCATTAACCCGTCGGTGGTAGAAGTCTGAATTGCCGGTTTCAGTCCTAGGAGGCCTCGCTATCGTTCCAACCGACGGTGGAAGTATCACACCGTCGCTTCTATCGCTACGGCAGTGAAAGTGGCGATAGCGATATATCAATCTGTAGTAGTGGTAGTTGGTTTTAAAAGCATTTATACAAGAAGTAAAGTTGTCTAATATTGGTATTTCTTATGTTGAGTAGAATATTCCGCAAGCGCACAGAATATCATTGTAGCACTTCACTAAGGAGTATTTGAAGGTATCATTATTTATTTAATCCACAAGGAAAGTGGTGGCTAGGAATAATAATAAATGAGTGACCTTAGTTATACCACAACTTAGCTATCAAAGTATAATGGGGGTAATCGATAAATAGATACGGTAGTGATGACACCGAAGATAGATAACTCACACAAAGATACAAGGTATAGCTAGGTGGGAGGATAACAAGTGAGCAAAGATTTCCTAAGATCTATCTCTACTTCTATGGTTCTAACTTAGCCAGACAAGTTATAGCAGCAAGATAGAGTTCTTGAACATGAGGACAACTAGATGACCAATGGCAATAGATATAACAGTGCCACTACTCCCAGCAGGGGTGGTCTTACTATTTTAATAACTTGCTCAAACCACGTGGTGGAATACAAGGATCAGATAGGGTTGTTGCCACGTGGTGGCAAAGTATAGTCTAGACACCACGTCTACACTATATCTCACTACTCTAGTTGTGTACACACAAATCAACTAGAGCACTGGTTGAAGGGCAGTGCTCGGGAGCAAGAGTGATACTACTCAACTTAGCAAGCATACAACTTTGCCTATACTGATAACCACTACAACACAACCAAAGGTATGTTAAACACTAAGCAAAGTAGAGAAGGTAAATATATTGAACAAGATAAAGTCTTACTACAAAGGGAAAGGATACAAGAGCTACACTAGACTCCCCAGAAGTCTAACTTAGGAAATCCGAGACTAGCTCACTACTCACTCTAACTCCCACACCAAACTATCCTACTAGATACAAAGGTAGTAGTGGAGCCCTATACTTCTTGGAGTGGTGTTCATGCATTGGAAGTGAGGGGGCATCCCCTATTTATATATAGTGATGGATGTGGGCCAATGAATCCAAGTGATCTTCACCTTGTCCTTGGATCAAACCACCATAAGATGAAGGGTGGAGATCCCTCACACTTGTGCTTCTTTCCATGTTGACCAAAGGATGGCGGTGGATAAACTTGAGCACCAACGGAGGAGATGGGGGGTCCGGTGACCCCTCTCCTCTATGATAGGTGCCCCCTCCCAAGGTGGGGGGCTTGGTCCTTCCTCGCATTGGTATGTGTTGTGGGGCCAATTGGACATCTTCAGTACATGAGTGGTGGGACATTCAATCCATGTGAAGTGTGTGTAAGTCGTCTAGAGGGAACACAAAGTGAATCCAGGGATGGAAATCACTTGTGAGTGTGTTTCATGGCTTCACCAAGATTGAGGGTAGTGCGGCCCACTTGGTGGGATCAGCTAAACCCCCTAGGGTCATTCGATCCTAGGGTTTGGCCCCACTTGCTTAATTTCTTGCTTCATGTAGATAAAGTACTCCAATACAAGTGGAACTTGTTATTTGTTAAAATATGCTCATGACATGTTCATTTCTTTTTATTCTGATGCATGTTGAAGATGTTTTCAAGATGTAAAACCATATCATTTTCACCATCAACAAGCTCACCAAAGCTTAACCTTTGCTTGTCGCGAGCAGACTAAAAGTTAGCCTCCATGGATCAGGAGTTACTTCCATGTTTACATTTCAAGAGTACCATGTGTACAACAAACATATTCTTCCTTGAGTGAAAAATTTAGAATGTTGAAAACTCACCCATATTACCTTAGCCCTTTATGGGGCTATGGCTTTTTCCTTTGTCATGGGTGGTTGAAAGATAGAATAGCTTGACCTGAGCACTAGTTTTCTCATTCAACATGAAGAAACAGAGTCCAGTGCATGATGTTTGTATGCACCGGATTGGTCCAAAGGTGTCGCCCTAGGGACACCGGACTATAGGGTTAAAACCCTAAATGCAGGCGTCCAGAAGGCACCATACTGGTCCGATGGTGGCAGTGACAAAAGCACCGGACTGCGCTAGAAGTGTTCACCAGAGGAGTGTTGCACTCACCTGATTGGTCCAGTGTGAACAGAGAAGGAGCACCGGACTATAACGGTGGCCACCAGAGAGGTTCCAAAGACGAAAAGAAGGCACTACATTGATCCGTTGATCAGTACCGGAACATGTGCCATGAACAATACCCAACAGTTGGCAACAGCTAGTTCCAATGTTTAGCTGTGGGATAGGCACCGGATTAGTCCGGTAACCCCACCGGACCAATCCGGTGACTGCACAGAAAGATGTAGCAGGGTCCAACGGCTATATTCTTGATTTGGGGCTATATATACTCTCTTGGATGGCCAAATGGAGGTGTGTGGAGCTCAAGAAGTGTAGTGTGAGTTGAGGCTCATCTCTAGTTGCTCTAGCCACCAAAGTGCTTAAGTTTTTAATTTGGTGATTAGCGTAGGTGCTTTGCGAAGTGCCTAGGCGTTTGCTGTAGATTTAGGCCTAGTGTTTAGTGGGGTTTGTATACCTCTTACCACTCGGTGCTTGTGCGCACCATTGTTGTACTCGGAGGGGCATGTAGTCTTGCAAGACCACACCAAACACGTTTGTGGTGTGGACGCGACCATGTACCGGAGGTGTAGAGGCCAACAACGTTTTGGCTGGTAGCTCGATAGTGAAGATGGCAGGGAGCGATCCAGGTGGGGCCATCTCGAAAACCCACTTGCACATGAGGAAGGCCTAGGGCTATCTATGGAGTTACCCAACCAGGAGCTTAGCCCTTGCGAGGAAGCGAGGAGCTTCTTGATACCTCGGGTAAAATATCGGAGTCGTCGATAGGAGTTTGCATCTCTATCGTTTAGCTTTCACATTTATATTATATAATTAGGTTGTGTGCTTTACTTTTCTAGCTTCGTTTCATGGGCTAGTGATATGTTTGGAATTTAGAGTGCATAACTCTTTTGCGGTAGAGATAGCAACACACCTAGCAAAACATTGTTGCATATCTAGATAGATTACTTTATTACATAGGTTTTGACTAGGTGGAAAAAAAATTCTCGAACAACGCAGGAGAGCTAAGTTGTCATTTTATTAAGATGGAAAGAACAAGAGTACAAAGGGCTAGGGAAAGAAACCCAGCCAAAAAACACACAAACACTCAAAGAGACCCGAGACCCCAGCACCTAAGATGCTCGAGAGAGTGACCAAGATAGGAAAAAAAAACTAAGTTTAGATGCTCCTGGCATGCACCAAAGAGTGCACTCATCCTTAATGGCCTGCAGTAACCCTTGTACATTAGGCAAGGAACTTTCATAAGTAGATTTTAAGTTGCCCAATTCACCCTTCTCCTCCCCCCTCTCCTCTTAGGCGTCATGGTCCCTTCAATGCTCTCAATAGGTTTTATGAAATGGGCATAATGTATGCAATTTTTTCTTTCAATATTTGGTTGCTGATTTTGTACTGTCCCCATCACTATGAGTTGTGCTGATTCACGTTCCAGTGAAAACAGCAGTAATATATCTTCAGTTCAAATAGGAGCCGTGAAAACAAAGCACTATCCAAAGTAAGATTCAATGTAAACTGGAGAGGAAGAACTTGAAGATCCAGCCATGATGGTTTACACAATGATAAACTAAACTACCAAAAAATGTTGAATATTTTAAAGCATTAGCTCTACAAGATACTTCGGATCAGCAGTGATAAATTTGTCTCTATTGACAAAGGCAACTTGCTGCAAGTACAATCTGAAAGCTCGGTATAAAAAGTTCTGCCACGTTTTAGTGTGATCAGTAGCCTGCAGGGATCCAAGTCTCCCCTCTTTCCAAGCTGATGGCCCATTCATCTCATCTGCCCCTTTATATAGGAGCGAGTCTTTCCATGGCTCTATACAATTTAATTGACTTAACTCACTGGATGCATATAATTGCATAAAGAGCGAACCATACGTTTCTCTAAAACTCATAAGCTTGTTTTGGTGTATTTACAGTTTGAAGGTAAATTCAGTGATGAGTTTGCCCACCATAATATAACGAACATGAAATTGAAGCTGAGGATCCTGGTGTCACTAGTAGTAAGAAGTTGAAGCATGCAGTTGCCAGTGAGAAAATCCAAGGTGCCATTTCTGGAACAAATAAAGATTCACAGAAAAGTGATTTAGAGAACATCCAATGTGAGAACTTGATAGTATTCCAGAATATAAACGGTGCCGGTGACTGCATAGGGGACCGCAAAAATGGCTCCAGTTCCTTGCCGTCGAGATAAGGAAATACAATCACTGAAACCAGATATCCAACAGATAACTGAAACTCATGTCAGTTCGAATTGAGCAATGGTTCATCCATTCTCAATAAACACAGTGCTGCACAGGATAGCCCCACTTATGGAGATAATGATCTAAACTACATCGATTGACCTGGCATTGACAATTTTGAGGATGTCGACACATTATTCAAGTATTCAGAACTTCTAGCTTATTGGCTAAGATCTTAATTTGTTTAAACAGGTGATAACTCTATTTCTTTTTATTTTATTTCTTTTCTTTTTTTGTCACAAATGAGGTTTGATTCCACATATGGTGAGCAGCAGCTGGAGAACGCAGATGGTTATATTGGATTCCTTCTTCAGATGATGTTTACTTTTCTGATGTTGCTTTGCAGCAAGGGTTTGACTCGTCTTATTCATACTATGGTATTCTGGATGATCTCTTAACATTCCAGTGTGTAGATGATAAATCACTACCCTCGGTTTATCCATCATGTGCTTTATGTGATAATCAATTCAGTGATACCTACTTGTTCACTGAGCAAAAGAATGTGAATGCATATGGCGAACAGGCAAGTTAATTGTTCCCATTTTTCAGTCTGTATTAGTTGACTCAGTATTTATCTTATGCCTTCTTTAATTTTGTCTCTCTTTTGTCCACTATAGATATACCAAGAGGACGTGATGGGGTCATTGCCCACTAACCAGATATGCACCTTTCATATGATAATTTACTAGGGTTTTTAATCATTGAAACAACACCAAATGATTGTATTCAGTTGCTCAGAGCTTTTTATCAATTTGATTTTGGTTTATCGCCTAAACCCCCTTGAATGGACATATAGTTCATTTGATATTCTATTACAACCAACTGTAATGTGAAAACAGAAATGAAAAGGTAGTCAATCAAGTACAACCATGCTACTGTGTTGCTATGGCTGTTATATGTTTTTTTTTCTATTTTTTATCTCTGCAACTCCTTGGTACAATTTACCCCTCCTTGTATAGTTTTTATTAGGTTTACCACTGGAGGATGGTCAGCTCTTAAGAATGTTTTGGGTTTACCACTATGCAATTTAATCATGTTCATTGATTTAACGTCGTGGTAGTTGCAGGTTGGAAATCAGTAGTATTCATCTGAAGAAATTTCAGTAGCATCGAATTCCTAGCCACCTAGGCCACAACGGATTGATCAAGGGCTGGCGCGGCAAAGCCACGCCATTCTTTCTAGTTATCTAATAAAGTTGATTCAAAACTATTTGACACCAACAACATATACAACAACATCAATATACTTATCCTAAAGCTGTGCAAACTTGAACACCAAAATGTCATCAATTATATTTTGCCCTCGCTTGATAGGGCAAGATCCCCAAAAAAAAAAGGTGAATTTCTTGAAGTTGGTATTTCTAGCTCCATTAATAATTTACCAAAGTTTAATAGAGAACGGGGAAACATCCATCACAAGACAAGTACTTGCGGCGGAGAAAACATGACCTGCTACAGCACCTTACACATACTACAATCAATTAAAAATTGAATTGCAGAACCTAGTAAGTTCCAAAAAGATTTATCATCAGATATCACACTTGAACCGGAGGGTACCCCAGCCTCTGCCCTCTCATATCACACTTGAACAACACATTCCCTGTTCCACCAATTGGCTCATTATTATCCAAATTAACTGTCCACAACTTCGGTTCTTTGATGCTTCTGTCGTCAAACTCTTAATTTTGCTAAAGCATATGTCCACATTCCAATAAATTCATGCATACAACTCAACAACATAGGGCAGTCCAAGTGTTGGTATACTTCCGTTGAAACTTCAGATTTCAAGAATCAAATAAGATAGAAGTAAAGATCTCACACCATATATCTTCTCAGCCTCATGAACAAAATTTCAAATGCACCAGATACATAAAAGCCTAATAACATAGTACACCACGGGCAGAGATCTCAAGGACTGATGAGTCTCTTGGATTTTTGAATCACAGCAGATAAAGAGCTCGCTATGGGCAAAAGAAATAAGCCTGTTTGTTTGGTTCCTTACATCAATTTTCCTACTTCAGTGCCAGATACATTTTGAGGCGGCCACATACAAACCCAAAAGAAACATGCTCATCAGTATATGGGATAGAGGCAAGAACTAATGCCAAACCAGCCTTTTGTCAAATTCTAGCCAATAAAAGTCAAAATATGCTTGGCAGGATGGATGGAGGAAGGCCCGCCTTACACCAGCACACAAGCAGTCAGTAAACACCCAGATCAAAAACATTACCTTTTTCTTGTCTTCCATTGACAACCTAGCATTAGCAGCTACCTAGGAGCTTTCCTAAGCAAGAAGATAAACATGTACAATCTAACTAGGAATTGTCATGCTGAATACAATTCTTGAGTTAGTCAACTTGACGAACTTCAGAACCTGCAAAACCAGCATAAAGTATTTGTGGTTACAGTTGGAATCAACTCATGAAAATAACAGAAACAGTTCAATAGAGCAAGCAGGACTAGATTATCACAGTCCTGGAACACAAATAACTCCAAGAAAATTTTACGTTAACAATGGAATACTAGCAAAAAGATGTGACAATACAAACAGGAAATAGTTGTGTATTTGCCACTGCTTGAACCTAATGCAGGCTTCTACTCCCTTTGTTCAGAATTAGATGGTGTATTTTCCCTGGGCAAAAAAAAATCAACGAGGTAGCTAAATTGACTAAAGTGCCCTTAGTTATTCCTAATTACCATCAGCCAAACAGGGGGTATGCACTAGTTGCATGCACACATGCAGCAACAAATTGCTTTCTAGTAGTATTAAATCAATGTTGTGAGCAGGAAGTAAATAGGGGTGTTTTGGTAGAAAGCATTTAAAACTACACACTATATTTGCGCAACCAAGGAAGAAGCACACACAGTAAAATCAAACAGATGGAGTATTATACTCCTAGATAGGCCTGGGCAAAAAAATCAAAGATCGAAGACCGAACCCAAACAGACAGAAAAATCAGTCCTCGGTTCCTTTGGTTGCCCTGTGCTGAAAACCGGGCATTTTTTTTCCTCGAACAAAAACTGGACATTATATCAGGTACTCAGTCTCTTTGTTCAGGTAACCGATATGACCGAATAGGCAATGGCCCACTAGAATCGGCCCAGTGCCCCAGACGGCTAGACCACCAGCCCTGCCTCATATATAAGCGCACGCTCCTTTACTGGAACTCTGGAAAACTCCAACTCCAAGTCCGCCTAACCCTAGCCGCCGTCACACCGACTAACTGAGCAGCAGGCACCAGCAGAGCAAAGCGCAGGCGCAGTTGCCGCCCACCAGTCACTGCCACAGATCCACGGGTGCCAGGACCTCAACACTCCGTCTGGGTGTTGCACATTTGCGCTCCACATGCAGGCATCGACCGCGAGCGGCAAGTCCGGGTGCTGTGCTGCCAGATCCTGAAGGAAGGAGTGAGGGAGGAAAACTGGAAGAAGAAAAGAAGGTATGTGGAAGCTCCATGTAAACTATTTGTGCAATAGAATATTTTGCAGGGAAGTCTAAGTAACACTATTGAGTCCAAGAAAAAACAGATCCTGAAAAGGCGATGATATGCCACAAATCCATGCTCAATCGATTGAAATTCCAAAACGGGGACCTTCATATAACAATAGCATTTGAAGATTTGTGTAAAACAAAGCAGAGCTACTAGCTCAAAATCCCTGTGCAGATAGGCTCCATGAATCATTTTAATGCACAGATACTCAATGAATGAAGCATAGGTCATGGGGCATGGAGATTATCATATAAAACAAGCAATGCCAAAGAATCTGACAAACTACTTGGATAACCTTTTGTGCATGGATAAATTGTGGTGAGTAATCAGCATTTTTTTAGATGTACTTGGAGCGTGAGATGTGACAATTAACTTCTATTTAGTATAGACCCACTTCTTTCCTAACTAAAAATTCGACTAACCTAAAATGGACAACACGAGTGGTTCACAGGCCACAAGGGGATAAACCCTCAATAAATAAATTGTCCGTAGAGAAAGAAAGGGGCTATTCAATATGACAAAATTAATTATTCATTCTCAGGAAAATTGCACAAAGTATTATAGCAAGTGCCAAGATATAATTGAAGATGAAACATAATAAGCTTATATGACAGTTCGGGTACCAGATTGAATAGTTGATTTTTATATAAAATATCAAATACGTTGTTTCTTCCTTTCGAAAGAACAGGTGGTGCAAAAAAAAAGAGAAGCAACGTTGCAGACACTGATCACCTAATCAGTTCCTCTACAACACTTATACTTGTTGAGTTATATAACACTAACAACTAGCAATATGATACTACTCTCACGGAAATAGAAAGGACCTCTCTAACTCACTAACAGAAAGGACAAAAGGATCAAATCCCATATTAAGGGCACACAACAAAATCAGTATGTAATGACGCTAATTATGCCTTGTTAACGGGGGCATCTGGTTAAAACAAATAAACCAAGTGTCTTGATTCAAAGCAAAATTGGATTTTTTTTTTGTCACAAACATTTGTTGAAAGTAATGGCTTGATAATCATCATCATCAACAACAACAACAGAAGCCTTTAAGTCCCAAACAAGTTGGGGTAGGCTAGAGTTGAAACCCAGCAGAAACAATCAAGGTTCGGGCACGTGAATAGCTGTTTTCCAAGCACTCCTATCTAAGGCTAAGTCTTTGGGTATATTCCATCCTTTCAAATCTCCTTTTATTGCCTCTACCCAAGTCAACTTCGGTCTTCCTCTGCCTCTCTTCACGTTACTATCCTGGCTTAGGATTCCACTACGCACCGGTGCCTCTGGAGGTCTACGTTGAACATGTCCAAACCATCTCAACCGGTGTTGGACAAGCTTTTCTTCAATTGGTGCTACCCCTAATCTATCACGTATATCATCGTTCCAAACTCGATATAGTAATGGCTTGATAATGAAAACACATAAATATCTACTAAATGTCTCTTTAGATTGAGCAAATAATAAACAGTGACACTCCTGTTCCTTTACCATAATAGACCATGACATTTCTTATCGTCTTCCTTTACCATAAGATGACACTCCTGTTCCTTTCCAAAAACATATATACCAATTTCTAACATATATAGAAGCATAATCAATGGAAACTAATCTTTTCCTAAAAAGATCTAAAACATCTGAAATCCAGCACCATAACATTTCATTTGTGCCATGGTTAGATGTGGGTCATATTCAAGCTGCAAGGTAGCAATCCAGGATGGAAGCCATAATTGAATGCCTAGGTGATGGATAAAGGCAGCTGGGTAGGATTCCAGTGCCACAACGTGCTAGAGGAAGCTGACAAGGCTCTACGACAACTGGTGGCATAAGGTGAGAAGCAAAACAACCCTATTCGCTTGATCGTTTCTGTGGCTTATAAGCCGGCTGATGCTGTTTTGTTGTGAGAGAAAAACACTGCATCATGGCTGATAAGCATGGCTGATACGATCAAGCGAACAGGGTGATTTTAAACTTATTATCGTGACTCAGTGCAGGACAAACAGTTCAAAGTAAAGATCTGAATGTGACACCACAGAAATCGG